GCCCTGGGACCCCAAGATGGACCTAACTGAGGGGGTCCTGTTGTCTGTGCCTGCAAGACCTGTCTTGGACTGTATTCCTGTCGTCTAAATAAACCTTCTGCTTTACTGGCTGGCTGAGAGTCATAGTGAATCGCAGGAAGCCGGGGGTGCAGGGCCTTGTGTCCCCCCCACACTCCGTGACAGCAAGTGTAGTGAATGGTGAACAGAAGTTACAATATTGAGATACTGAAACAGTGCAAGTCTCAGTGATTTAAGCAGGAATTGGATTGACAGTGAAACTTACAAGAGCAACTAACAGCTATGGCTCTTAACAAGCATCTTAATTGCCAATTAGTCAGTTATTGGGTAACCAGTTTTATGAATGAATGTTGTTTCATTCATAAATCTTTACTTATGAAGTTACATTAATAAAGTGAACAATTAAAAACAATTTCATTCATGAGTCCTACACAGGGTGATCGTGGGAAAGGTGCTGTGGTTTGGGTACGACACAGCCCTGCCCGTAGAGGTGCAGCCCCCCTTCCCCACAGGGGGACTCGGGGGCTGATCCCCCCCAAGGAGGGGCACCATGCACATATGGGAGAATGAAATATCCTGCAGTTACAACCTCTAACTTCCTCCTGCATAGGGTTACCATATTTCCACAATCAAAAAAGAGGACACTGGGGGGGGGGGGAGCCCTGCCCTGCCCTGCCTTAGCCCCACCCCCATCCACTCCCTCCCACTTCCCACCCCCTGACTGCCCCCCTCAGAACCCCAACCCCCCCTGCTTCTTGTCCCCTGACTGCCCCCTGCTGAGAACCCCCCTAGGACCCTACGTGTCCCCTGACTGCCCCGACACTTATCCACTCGCATGGGTGGCAGAGTTGTAGAAATTTTGGTGGTGCCCACCCCTGTCACCTGCCTAAGGCTCTGGGAGGGGGATTGGTTGGGGGGAGGAGGTCTGGGGTGCAGGTCCTGGGCTGGGGATTAGGGTGCAGGAGGGGTGCAGGGTGCAGGTTCTGGGATAGAGTTTGGGTGCTGGGTGCAGGCTCCGGTCTGGGGCAGGGGGTGGGTGTGCAGGAGGGGGTGAGGGGTGCAGGCTCTGGGATGGAGTTTCGGGGTGGGAGGCGGTGCAAAGGGAGGGGGTGCAGGCTTTGGGAGGGAGTTTGAGGGCAGGAGGGGGTGTGTGGGAAAGGGGTTTGGGAGGGAGTTTGGGGATAGGAGGGGATGCAGGGGTGAGGGCTGTGGGTCTGAGGATGAGGGGTTCATGATGCAGGAGGGGGCTCAGGGCTGGGGCAGAGGATTAGGGTGTGGGGGGATGAGGGCTGGGGCTGAGGGGTTTGGGGCGCTGGAGAGGCTCGGGGCTAGGGTGGAAGGGCAGGGTAAGGGCAGCCTGTCTTCCCATTAGTGGATGGGGGCACTAGGACCCGGGGGCAGCAGACAGCAGTTGCTGCTGGCTCTGGCAGTACAAGCAGGCAAGGGAGAGGCAGGCAGGGAAGGGGGGGCTCACGGAGGGGGATGCGCGGAGGGGGGGTGGCAGGTGGAGGCCGGGGACCCATCCAACACTCCCCTGCTCCCTGATTGCCCCCCCCCGGACTCCCCTTACCATTCTGGCTCCACGTGTAGGCAAAACACGCTGCCCGGTGGGTCAGTTTGTGTGTTACACGGGGCTGCAGACAGAGGGAGGGGGGAGCAGGGGAGGGCTCTGGCTGCTGGAGGCCAATGGGAGCGGCTCAATCGGCCCAGCCGCCCAATCAGCAGCCGCACTCTGCATGGGAGGGAGGGAGGGAGGCGAGGGAGAAAAAAACCCCGGACATTTCAACCTTGTTACCAATTCCTCCCGGACGGCTATTTAGAGACGCAAAAGCCGGACATGTCCGGGGAAATACGGACGGATGGTAACCCTACCCCTGCACCACTCTGGACTGGGGCCATGTCCCCCTTCCCAAGCTAAGTGGGGATAGGCCCGGCCACTGCTCAGATGGGCCAACCCATAGTGAACAAATGAGCTGAGGGGGGGCACAGTAGGGGGCGCTGTCCCCTCCCAGGCAGAGCTGGCCCCATTGCCCCAGCACGATGCCAGGGGTCCCTGTGCTCCCTCCGGCTGCTTTCCCCTCACACCGGGCATCCTTGTTTGAATGTCCCGGCTGGGGGCTGCAGCCTCAGGGGAGGCACTCAGAGACCCTGTCCCCAGGAGGGAGGGCTGGTGCTGCTGTTGATGCCCATCTTCCCCACAGTGGATCACGTGCACTTCCAGGCGGAGTTCTACCAGCGGACGGACCAGTCCCAGCAGGGGTCAGGGGAGTTTGTGCAGGGGTTCGACCAGGACGAGATGTTCTATGTGGACCTGGAGAGGAAGGAGACCGTCTGGCGCCTGCCCGACTTCGGCAAGTTCGCCAGCTTTGACGCACAGTTTGCCCTGCGCAACGTCGCAATAACCAAGAGCAACCTGGAGCTCATGATCAAGAGCACCAACCAGACGCAGGCCGAGAATGGTGGGTCACCTTCCCTGCCAGGCCCCTCTCCCGGAGCCCTCCACCCCGCTCACCCATGGACCCTCCCTTCCTCACGCAGGCCCAGAACCAGCCCCCACCAGAGACTGCGTGTCCCCACTCCGCTCCCCTCCCAGCCCCTGGGGGGCTCCGGGGAGCCAGTCAGCCAGGCCAGGGCTCTGCAGGGCAGGGGGCCCGGGCAGGTCACACCCTACAGGCTGGGGGCCCAGGGCAGCTCCTTTGCCGAGGGCTATTCGTGGCCCTGCCCAGCGCCAGGCCCTGCCCCTGAGGGATTCTCTCCCCTGCCCCTGGTGCCCCATGAGCCGTCAGTGCAGGGAGCTGAGACGGCCCCGGTGACGCCCCCACAGTCCTGAGGAGAGACCCTGAGCTGGAGCGTGAGCACCAGGGACTGGCTGGCTCAGGGGGGCAGGGAATGGGGCAGGGGCCTGTCCCCTCTAGGGGGCGCCGGCTCCCATCCGGCCCCAGGGCAGGGACTGGCTGGCATTGCCAACTTTCTAAATGCACAAAACCGAACACCCTTGCCTGTGCCTTGCCCATAGGCCCCGCCTCTGCCCCGCCCCTTCTCTGAGGCCCTGCCCCCCTCCCTCCAGCCCCCCTCCCTCCGTCACTTGCTGTCGCCCACCCTCA